CCCACCTTTTCTCCGGCCGCTGCCAGAAACATTTCAGAGCCGGGCTGATTCAGAACCGAGTCCGTCTGGAGGTCAGGTCCAGGTGAGAACCTCCACGGCCCAGCTTCGTTATCCAGCTGCCCCCCTCCGGCCCCCGCCCCCCGTTTGGACCACCATCCCGGCTAATTGGAGGCGCTGCATCGCCTCTCCTCGGAGCCTTTTGCTCTTTCTGTTTCTTTTCCACAAACCCAGTGGGAACTGGCAGCTCTGAGCGAATCGGGAGCCGAGGCAGAAAGTCATTACTTCAGTGTGTGTGTGTGTGTGTGTGTGTAATCCCAGCATCAGTATGCTGCTCAGACTTCGCAGCAGAAGGAGGAAATTGAAGAGAGGGAGAAAGAGAGGAGGGCGAGTCCAGCATGAAGTTCTTTTGATTACAGATGGTAAATGTGCCTCCATCGTCTTCTCACTCCGGGGATTCAGGCGACGAATTACTCTGTGTGTGTGTGTGTGTGTGTGTTCTGTTTGGGTTTTATTAGAAGCAAAGCCGGGTCACACGGGTCGACTCAGAACACTGAACCACCTGAAGCTTCATTAGTTTCTGTCATCTGAGCTCCGAGTTGGGCAGATCTTCATCACCACCTCTGCTCCTCTTCATCACCACCTCTGCTCCTCTTCATCACCACCTCTGCTCCTCTTCATCACCACCTCTGCTCCTCTTCATCACCACCCAATAATGAAGAAGGATTCAATCTGTGTAAAATAATTTCTTTAATAACTCTGATCTCAGACATTTAGAAACTTTATTGAGTTTATGTACTTTTACAAATTCCTCCTTCACTGACATTTCCTTCCCTCCTCCTGGAAGTGTCAGTGAAGGAGGAATTTGTAAAAGTACATAAACTCTGGACCGGTGTCGGTCCAGAGCGGGCCGGTGCCGGTGTCCGCCCGCTCTGGTCGGGTCAGACACTGAACTCATCCTGCAGGATTTCTGTCCTGGATCCTCTAGCCGATCGGGGAACTTTAGGGAACCTTCTGCACAAACTCTGGATTATCTTTTTCTAGTCAAACTGGAAACATAAAAATCAGTTTCACAACTGATGACTAAAAATCTGAAGGAAAGAAACAGAAGAAAAATAGTTTTTTTGTTCCTGAACCTTGACGGGAGCATTCAGCCCACTTTAACTCGACTCCAGGCCATCTGCCTATTCAAAGTCCGGTTCGGTTGGTCAGGTGTGAATGCTAATTGACCTCTGACCTCTTGTCCTCCGAACCTCAGTCTGGGTTCAGTTGATCTGAACTCTGGTTCGGTTTGAATGTGAACACCAAGCAGATCAGAGACAGCTCCAAAAGCAGAAAGTAGACTACAGCGCAAGGCATTCTGGGTAAATACAACCAATGCTAACGTGCTAGCCTTGCGCTAGCAGCAGAAATGGCTCCTGGTCTTTAGCCAAAGCCTAAAGAGAAATCCTCCAACTGCTAAAATCTGTTCCATCTGGTGAAGCAGGAAGTTGCTCTCAGTGTCTTCAGAGGATTTTGTATCATTTCCTTTAGTGGTTCTTGGTGCAGCGCCCCCACAGGCCAGGAGGGGAACAGGTTGGTTTGACTCGGAGAAGCAGCTGGAGGTGGAGCAGATGATGGAGTTCTGGTTCCAGTAGAACCGGGTCGACTGGACCATCAGAGGGGAACAGTCCTGACCCGGGCCTCAGTTTTCTGATGAGCTGCCCTGCTCTGTGTTGGTTCCTACCCTCCTCTGATTCTGTTACCCCAGGTGTCAGCTGGTTTCTGAGCTAGCTGTGTTTAGTTGGCAGCTGGTTGGAGGTCAAAGGTCAGCTCATGTTGTTGGTTCTGTTGGTGGTTTTGATTGTTTATGCTGCAGAAAAAACTTTGACCCGTTTCCAGTCTAGGCGTGACGCTGCAGAAAGGAGCTGAAAGCTGAGCTGCTGATGCCACGCCGCTCCGCTGGGACTTTCTGCTCCACCGCCGACTGCGTTTATGCCCCTCCCTCTGCTCTCTGGCAGCCAATCAGGCGGAGGCGCAGGAGTTAGTCTGGAGGAGACGGTTGTCAGGACTCAAACTGGACCCGATCTGCACTTTGTTCCACCGCTAAGAGCAGAAACATCCCGCCACAGCGACGGACCTGAACTGACCCAGTCACAGTGGAGCTTCCTGATTGGCTGCTTCCTGTTTAAAGGGACGGCATCAAGTAAAATCAATTGTTTTCATCTTTTCGCCATGTCTTCATGTCTTATCAAAAACATTCCTGCCGTTTTGCTCTGATTCTTTCATGTTTGAGAAATCCTCTAATCTCCATGGCAACCCTTTAGCTGTTTAAACACCTGGGTGGACCTAGCCCCGCCTTCAAGGACAAAGCTCCTCCCCTCTCAGCTCCTCCCAGACTAGCCAGCAGCAATTAGCAAACAGCTGCTGAGCTAATCATAGGAGCTGCTGCTCAGAGCTATGTTGGTAAAACCGATAGAGTTAAAAGAGGAGCCATGTTGGATGACTTCCTGGAGGCGGAGCTTCTGGAAGAGCAGGAGTTCTTAACGAGGCAGAGACCCAATTTAAAGGTGTTAAATTGCAAAGTCAAATTACTTGAAGGCGGAGCTATGTCCACTCTGGCTTATTGATCAGCTGGTTGGTTGCCATGGAGATTAAAGGATTTGTCAAACATGAAAGAATCAAAGCAATGCTGCAGGTTTTTGATTAAACATTAAAAAATTATGTGAAGATCAACAAGTCGCATTTAAATGATGCTGCCGCTTGAATAATTTCCAGCTAAATAGTAAATTGAACAGAAAGTTTCCTTGTGGGAAGTTGTGAGTTTTAGCCATAATCTGGTACCGTGCAGTTCTGATGGAGGTTCTGAAGGTTCTGATGGTGGTTCTGATGTTGGTTCTAATGGTGGTTCTGAAGGTTCTGATGGAGGTTCTGATGGTGGTTCTGAAGGTTCTGATGGTGGTTCTGATGGAGGTTCTGAAGGTTCCGATGGTGGTTCTGGAGGTTCTGATGGAGGTTCTGAAGGTTCTGATGGAGGTTCTGAAGGTTCTGATGGTGGTTCTGGAAGTTCTGATGGAGGTTCTGATGGAGGTTCAGATGGAGGTTCTGATGGAGGTTCAGAGTGTTGGTCGTCCATCAGCTGTGAGTCCCTGCAGCTCTGTATCAGTAGGATCTACGTTAGCGTTAGCGTTAGCTCCAGCTCTGTATCAGTAGGATCTACGTTAGCGTTAGCTCCAGCTCTGTATCAGTAGGATCTGCGTTAGCGTTAGCTCTGCTGCCTGAGCGCAGTGTAAACGTCCCAGAGGTCCCAGCTGAGCTGCTGCTCTTCATCAGGCTATTTCTGTGTGAGTGGGAAGGATGGATGCTGCGCCGCAGGCGGCAGAGGAACCAGCAGCCGCTCCGGTCCGGTCCGTTTGCTCTCACTGAGGGAAGCAGCTCATTTCTCCTTTTTACACATTTATAATCCATTTGGCTCCATTATTTTATTCTTCTGAAACTGATCCAGTTGGTTCCTACAGTATTTGGGTTTTTTATAAATTCACAGCTAATGTCGTCTGGATTGATTTTATAATCCATGCAGGAACAGTTCTGGGTTTTTTATTATTTTAATTAATTTAATTCAGTTGGTTTTAGTTTTTAGCGTTTGCTTCTTTTTAGTTATTAGTTAAATATTGTTTAGTTTCTGGTTAGTTTCTATTAGCTATAAAAGTAGTTTTAGTTTTTTCATAGTTTATAAATTTTTTGATAATGAATTTAATTTAAAAGGGAAACTGCAACTCCAACATGAATTTGATGCTCTGGATCAGATTGTAGCAAAAGTTAATTCACATCTGCAGAAATCAGGTTACAGTTCTGTGGTTATATAAACACTGATTGATTAATAAATACTGAACAGATTATATTTTTTAAAAATGTTTTAATTATTAACAAACTGATTGGATTTTTCTCCAAACTTTTTCTGTTGCCGTTTTGTAAACTATCGTTACCAACAGCTGACGAGAACTGATCATGTTACAACAAAGGTTTCACATCAGATCAATAGATTCATAAACACAAAAACAAAAGATATGTGTAATTTCAGTAAGTTTTAGTTTTATAAAAGTGTAATATAGTCCCAGTTGGTTTGTTTTAGTGGAAAAGTTGTCAGTATTTCCTGTTTAGCTGCGTTTCCAGATCCTCCCTCCAACCTGCAGCAGCTGCTGCTGCAGCAGCTGCTGCTGCTGGAGGACGGAGAGACGCAGCTCAGAGTCTAACTGATGACCTCTGCTGCTGCAGCCTGCGGCTGTTTGTAAGAAGGAAGATAAATAAATAAAGAAGACAAATGTCCCGTCTTCTGTGGAGGACAAACTAAATCTTCCCTGAGGCTCTGCTCTTCCTCCTCCTCCTCTTCCTCCTGCTGCTCATAGGAAGAGCAGCAGATAAAACCTGGAATCACTGTTGGCTGTAGAAACTGTTCCACATGAAAAGCCTCCGGATGCGTCGGATTGTTTCCGTTTGAAAACAAAAAAAATCTTCAGCAAATCCTCTGAACGAACAGATCTGGAGTCCAGCAGCTTCTGCTGAAACGGCTGAAAGTAATCTGATTACTTCCTCCTGAAGGATGATCCAGACAGGAACATGGTTCAAAACGTCACCATCATCGAACCTGAAATAAAACCAAAACAGGAGCAGAAATAATCTGTTCAGATTCAGAGTGAGGCAGAAAACCAGAGTTGGTGAAAACACGGCGGCATCAAATATGTTTAATAAAAATAACGTTCGCTCGTCCAGAGGATGTGCGTCTAGTTTATTAATGTTTAGTTTCCCTTTGGGATTAATAAAGTGTTAATACATTTAAATGTGAATCTGCTTTTAAAGCTGAGATGTGAGTTTGGTTCTGGAGGAAGGACCTGTGCTAACGCTGCTCTGAGTTCCCATGATGCATCAGTCTGACCCTGATGACCTCAGCAGCTGTTGGTCGATGTAAGGAGAGGTGCAGCCTGCAGGGGGCGCTAAGGCTGATCTGTTTCTTTTTCTGTTTTCAGATCTGACCTCAGCTGCCATCCATCTGGATCTGAGCAGGTAACGCACCTGAACACTGAACCGGTCCAGAACCGGTACCACAAGCTCACAGAATCAGAGGCAGACTTTAAGGGTTTTAGCTGAAGAACTGGGGCTGCGCTCGTTTTCCAGACCAGTTAACGGGTCTCACCTGAACCAGTTTGGGTCGAGCTCAGAACCAGGATATTGTGGGTATATTTTATATCTGCTGCATTTTTCTTCATTTATTCATGTATATTTATTGATTTAACGTGAAAAAAGAGAAAACATAAGGAGAGGAAGTGGAACTGCTGTATAAACAGTCACTTCAAAATAAGAGCATCAATATAAACGTCTGGCTAATTTGAACAGTCAATAACTGTTGAATTTTATTTAACAGCCGAATAAATTAGCAGAAAATTTTAATTAAGGGGAAGTTAAGTGTGCTAAAGTTTTCAGTTGGCAAAAGTGCTATAGTGCTAAGCTAACATTTAGCTTAGTGGATTAGCAGAACTGTGTTTACTGGACGGTCAAACAGTAAAGAGAAACTGTCATGGCGTAGAAACCAGCAGAGCGCCCCCTGCTGCTGCTGTGAGAGTCCTGCTGGTCCAAAGCCAGGAGTCAGCGCCAGCTAGCGGCTAACTGTTAGCTGCTACACTCAGCAGGAGGTCCGGCTGGCTGCAGTTCTGGCCGGGTTTTGGGGAATTGGGTCAGTTTGTTTCCTTCAGCGCCAGCTCTCAGAGGGCCGACGGTTCTGGAGGGTTTAACTCAGCTGCTGTTCTCACACACACACACACACACACACACACACACACACACTCGGTCTGCTGTGACTGGATCTGGTTTCTCAGGCGCCTCAGTAGCTCAACCTGGAAGCCTCCTCCTCTTCGTCCTCCTGTTCTTCCTCCTCCTCTTCTTCAAACGATGTGTCTTTGTGTTTCTGCTGCTGACTCGGCGCTGAACGTTTCACATCAGAATCTCAGAAGTTGGAATATTAGCCAGAGCTAATTCAGGCTGAAGCTAGGAAGCTACGTTTAGCCCTAGCAGCGCTCATACAGCATGGAACGTTTTTCTGCGTTTTCCGCTCATATTTTCTGTTTATATTTGATGATGATTTGTGTAAATATTGGAGAACGAAGCGTCTGGGTCTGAAGAGACCTGAGGTCAGGTGATTGGGTCGTCACATGTGATGATGTCACACAGCAGAGCTGACTTCACTCTAATCAATGACATCATCATTTATTCCAGGAAGCCAGTCTGTCGTCATTCAGTTCACTGGAATATTTTGTGTAAAATAATTGTTGTTTATTGCCAAAAGATGATTTAGAGAAAACAAACCACGTAGTTTGTTATTTTAGGAAGGTGATGGTTCTGGTTCTGTGGTTCTGCTGAGGCCCAGTTGGTTGACGGCGAGCTGCAGGTCGTCTTCTTCGTTGGTTCTGCTTGACGTTTTCTGGGTTTTATGGGACCAGATGCAGGAAGGTCAGAGTGGAGGCTTTAGTGCAGAACTGAGCAGCAACAAGGCAGGATGAAAAACATAATAATAATAATAATAATTCATAGGTGCCTCCATGCATTGCCCCAATAATATTAATCAGGATAATCATCATAAATGTTCCAGTTACTATGAATCAAAATCTAAGCATCTGGTCTCAGCCTGGATTTAAAGGAGCTCACTCTTTTGGATGTTTTTCAGTTTTCTGGAAGTTTGTTCCAGATCTGTGGAGCATAGAAGCTGAATGCTGCTTGTCCATGTTTGGTTCTGGTTCTGGTTCTGGATGCAGAGCAGAACCAGAACCACCAAACATCATAACTGCAGTTGGTTCTGATTGTCTGGAGATTTGTCGTGGCTTTCTGTATCACACAGTGATCAGCATAATGCATGGTTACCGTGACAACAGCAGTTAGAAAAGACTCGTTGGCTCTGTGTCTACAACAACAAGATGCTGAAAATTAAAGCAGAAAGCTGGAAACGTTTTATTTTACATACGACTCGACATGGACCGAATAAAACCGCAAGAAAATGTTTAATTAACACAAACATTTTTTAAACAAACTACAAACCAGCAAAAGTCTCCTAAATAAACCAATAACAACATTGATCACAATAGGCAGGTGATCAATATCAATAGATAATACATCTGGTAGAATACAGAACCGGACGGCATTCTGGGAAATGTAGGCGTCAGCCGCTCACCGCTAAGCTAAGCTAGCTGGGTGGAATCAACTAGCGCTCATTCTTTGGTTGCCTAGCAACAGCCTGCTCAGTAACTTGCTAAGCTTCAGGTTTCACTTCATAACTGTTTGAAAATAAGAAAACATCATGGAGTAAAAACTGGATAAAACTAAAAAAAACTCATCAATAATTATCAATATCAACTTGTATGAAATGATTATCATGAGTTTTTATCGTCCGGCTCAAACTAACAACGGAAATCCGACTCCTGTCGGTTCAAAGTCTTTAGCTTAAGGAGTTTACTAACAAATCAAACCCAAATGTTTTTATGATTTTAATATTGTTTCTAAAATTAAAAATGAAACTTCCCCTGCAGACTGGGGTTATTATAGTTCACTAAAACTAAAAGTAACAAAACCTGAACTTTAGAAAATACTTTTAAGTAAATAAAAACAGTAACTGAGGAAAAACTAACAGGAACTGCATTGTGTGTTTATGAAACATAAATTATCCTTCATGTTTATGAATATGATTATTATGTGTTTGTTCAACTAAACCTGAAAACATTTCTTGAAATTTATTTTTCTGCTGAGTATTAATTAATCACTGTAGAGACGATTCTGCAACTAAATATGAACTAAAACTAATAAAAACGAAAACTGACTGAATTTGATAAACTTAGTTTAACATTGAAGTGAAACTGAACCATAATGAAAACCCAGATCTGTTGTGACCCTGCTCCGCCCGCCCAGGCCCCTCCTCCCTCCGTGACCTTTGACCCCAGGACCCCTGTGAAGCTGCTGACTCTCTGCTCTGACCAGTCCAGCAGGCTTCCCCCTCGTTTCCATGGCGATCTGCCTGCTGTGACTCCGGTGGGCTCAGTGGACCAGCGGTCCGGTCAGACCGGCCGTCCCCAAAGCCCCCTCCCCCACCTGTTGCCGTGGCAATGCTCCTGCTGTCTGATGGTCCAGATCTTTACTTTCACTTTCACTTCCTGTGCTGCGGCTCTGCTGCTGCTTCTGGGTTTCACCAGCTGCTCCTCTCATCCAGAACCTCCTGTCCAGTTCTGGTTCTGGTTCTGGTGATCCAGAACTTTAAACTGGGCTCTGCTGAAGGTTTCTCTCTGGACCTCAGCTTCTGCTTCCTGTTTCATTCTGGCTGTGAATGAATTCACAACGTAGATTTCTGGGTTCTAACCGGGTCGGGTCTGACTGGGTCCAGAGGAACCGGCTGGCCAAACCGGGCCAGACCGGGCCAAACCGCAGCAGCAAGCAGCCTGAAGGCGGAGGGACTTTTTCAGCGGCTGGAAACAGGAAACAGGAAGCAGGAAGTGTTCTGGATTTATATCAGAGAAACGATGAAAACATGAAGCAGAAACGGACCAGAACCGACCCGGATGGTTCTGGACCGGCGCTGCTTTCACAGAACGGTTCCAGGAGTTTACACCATGAAAACTATCACCAGGTCATCATAAAACCATAAAGTTTGAGATGTTTCAGTTCATCAGAGACGATTAAAGTAATAATAACTTTAAAATATTTGCTTTTTCAGTTCATCCTGATTTCCTCTGGATTTAAAAACAAACTTTTATCTAAATATTAAACCTGGAACTTTAAACTTTTTGCATAAAGAAATAAGTTATTAGTGGACACACTGTCGTCACTTTTCCTCCTTTTTTGCCACAAGAAAATACGATTGTTTTCATTTCTGTTTTTTATTATTTTCATTTTTTTGTGAAGTGTTTTTAAATTTCCTGATGATTTCCGTACATCCAACCTTCAGACTCCCTTTGCATTTTCTGGAGAAAGATCCAGAATGAAAAGTTGCTTCATTAAAATCCAGACGTCCAGTTTGCAAATTGTTCTGGTGACAAAATAGAGAAAATGAATTTTGAGCAGTCCGAAGAGGAAGTGGTCGTTCTGCCTGTGGAGTCACTTCCTGTATTTAGTAAAGCATCATAAATGAATTTTGCTTTATGAGTCAAAGTTTCGTCGTTGTCTTGGTGGTTTCCTTCGTGCGTACGGCCCAGTGCCGTCTCCATGGCGATGTCAGAACGTCACGGGTTCTGGACGCTGACGGACAGCGGATCCGTTTTATTTAACAGATTTCTGATCATAATAAATGACAATACTTGTGTTTTTGGTGCCTCTTTATGCTGCAGCAAACTGACATGTTGGCCGCTGATCATTTCTGCTCTAATTCAAAATAAAAAGTCTCCATCAGCACCTTGTTCTGAGGGCCACACAGAATCTTTCCATGGGCCCCTAACGGCCCGGGAGCCACCCTTTGGATCCCCTTAACAACAGAAATGTTTGGTTTATTTTTGTTTTTAGTTGGGATTTTGGTTTCTCTGGTTCTACTGGTTCAGATTTCTCCTTAAAGTCCAGTCCGGTGGTTCTGAAGGCTGCGGGTGTTTCTGTAAAACCCAGATCATGATCCCACCTGGACTCTGATGTTGGACCAAACCAGGACTGAGTGGAACCGGGTTCTTCAGCAGAACCGCAGCGGTTCTGCTGAAGAACCCGGTTCCTGCTGCAGGTCAGGCTGCTCTGCTGTCACCATAATGACACTAAATTACAGTTTTCATCTCTGGGCTCTGATGGAGGCTTTTAGCTGCTCACACACACACACACACACACACACACACACACACACACACACACACACACAGAATGGTGTCAGAGGTGAGTGTTTAACATGATTATGCTGCTCTAATGGAGGCAGTGATCAACTCGACACATAAACAGCCGCTGCTCGTCTCTCTGCAGCAGCTATAAATAAATCAACGTTTAATTTTGAGCTTTAAGATGGAAAATAGTTGCCAAATGTTTTCCCTCTTCAGCAGCAACAACCTGGAGACAAACAT